CTTCACCGCCGCTCGCTCTTTCCATTTCCCCCCCGGCTTTTCATTTTCGCGGTGCATTTCGTGTCCATTTCCACATTATGGGGGGCGTCTGCGCTCGCTTCGCCGAGGACCACCGGCCGGGGCTCAACTTTGCTCTGCTGGTGGTCACCTACGCCGCTTACCTGCTCGTCGGCGCCGGCATCTTCTCCTCCGTGGAGCTGCCCTACGAGGTCCGACTCCGCGATCAGCTGGAGGCGAGTCGCCGTGACTTCCTGGCCAACAATACGTGCGTGTCGGACGACAGCCTGCGCCAGCTCCTGGCGCACGCGCTGGAGGCCAACAACTACGGCGTGTCGGTGCTGGGCAAAAGTAGCCGCCGCAACTGGGACTTCATATCCTCGCTGTTCTTCACCAGCACGGTGCTGACCACCACGGGTGAGCCTTGGCGAGACTCGAGGGGGCCACTCGAGCGCTCCATTTCCACACTGGAAAGGGGGGGGGGGACTCTCATGTATACAAAACGGCCACCCATCAGAGGCCATTAAATAATAATTGATCTTAAAAAAAGATTAGCGATGGACGTAATGTAAACTAATATGATAAAGTATTTGACCAATGATTAGGGATACATTTTGAGCTCAAATAAATGACAGTATTTTTTCCCCAATCCATCCACACCCACACACGAAATCCTTTTGAATAGGAAAGTAAAAATAAGTGAGTGGTTGCAGAATGTGCACACGCTCATAACCGGGCATGTGGCTGTGTTCAGGATTACCAATACAAACAGTCTAGTCGGTCGTTGCTGACATTTTTGGAGTCACACCTTACGGGACAAGCCATTGGGATCTTGCCATTTGAACATGGGTGTGCAAACGTTTTACAGGCCCTGTCGGTGATACTTTTGTAAGCTTATGTTAAATTATTATTTTCATTTTTATTTGAGCATTATATTCTTTTGTGTTACAGTTACCTATGTTGTATTCCGTTTAATAATTGCTTCAACAAGTTTATGTTGATCTTGTCTGATTGGCTGAAGGAAACCAGGAAGCGTTTGTGTTACCGGAAGAAGGTGTGTTGTCGTTCATCCGTTCGGAGGTGCAGACGTTTTTTTTCCCTTTTAATAAACTGCATTAGAGGATTCCATCTCTCCTTTTGTCGTTCGTAACGTAGAGCTATCCACTAAAAACAACGAACCCCCCAACTTACACTTTCTATGGAGAAAGAAGGTTTAGAGGCGAAAATGGTCCCAAAACGCAACATGCTTTGTTTTAAATAATATGAAAGTCAGTTAAAGGTCAAAGCAATTTTTTAATGTTTTTTTTTATGGTTCTCTAATGTGATGTGTGACATTTATTAACAACCACACACTGCCCAGTTTTGAAGGCCTTGTTGATAACTTGTTCATCAAGTTGACTGAGCGAGTGAGCTTCCACGCAATTAAGAAAAAAGGCTTTGTTGGCTTCCTTTTAAGTCATATGGTAACAGTTGCGTTTGTGTCTAGGTTACGGCCATACCGTTCCTCTGTCGGACGAAGGGAAGGCCTTCTGCATCATCTACTCGGTGGTGGGAATCCCCCTTACCCTCTTCTTCCTCTCCGCCGTGGTGCAGAGGATCATGGTGGTGGTCACCCGCCGTCCCCTCGCCCACTTCCCGCGCCGCTGGGCCGTGTCCAAGGCCAAGTTCGCCGCCGCCCACGCGGTGGCCCTCATCGTCGTGGTGACCCTCGTGGTCCTCATCATCCCGGCGTGTATCTTCTTCACCGTGGAGCGGGACTGGAACTTTCTGGAGTCCCTCTACTTCTGCTTCATCTCCTTGACCACCATCGGGCTCGGAGATTACGTCCCGGGAGAGACTCAGAGTACGGAGGACGACCCTCACCGGGACCTCTACAAGCTGGTCATCACTTGTAAGGCCACGCGTTGCCGCTGCAATCAAGCATTCGAAAAGACCTTCTTTATTGGGGGTTGTTATTGTGCCTGGGGCCCCAAAGCCAATTCTTATTTTACGAATGAGTCTTTGAACTGTGAGGCGGAGCCTCATTTAGTCAGGTCATAGGTCAATTTCTCACCGATTTTGGCTATTTACAGGCCAATCTGTTGAGACAAAGGAAATCATGGAAATAGAAGTCCATCAGAAAAACTTGATTAGCTTCAGATCAGGGTTGGACGACCGATTCTATCAATTCATTTCATTTGTTTAGAGGATTTTTTTTAATCTACTACTTTTGTGGCCTCCATAGTTCAACTACTGCTTATATTAACAAAATGGTTGCTAACAGGTTTTATTATTAATTTTTTTACTAAAGTGTGTGTGCGTGGGCGTGTTTCAGTGTACCTGCTCATAGGTCTGGTGTGCAATCTGGTGCTGATGGAGACGTGCGTGGAGCTGCCACAGATGAAGCGCCTGCGCCAGCGCTTTTACCGGGACGACCTGCGCGAGCTGGACTCCGAGACGGCCAACATCATCGAGCGGGAACACACCGCCGACGCGTCTGACCACGTCATCCCGTCTGTTTCGGAGCACACCGACACCGTGCGGGACGGCGGCAGGCCGGCGGTGCCGTACATGCTTGCGCCCAACCTCAACGGGAAGCTCAACTAGCACGACGGAAAATGGTCACCTGCTGTGCAATGGGCGGAGTTTACATGTTCTTTGAGGGACCGGCTGAAATGGACCTTTCTGTTGCTCGGATTAATGGCAATGTGCTCTTTTGACGTGGAACTGGTGAGCGAGCGCAACACTTGACTTGAGCTAGCAAGCTAGGAAATGCTTTTCACAAATCTGATAAGGTGTTGGAAAAGTACTGTGATTTTTATTTTTTTTTTCCCTTGTCAGAATTTTCCCTCCTGATAAGAGCTGGGGCGTGAATGCCAAGGAAGGGCTGCTAAGTTTCCGCTTCCTGTCAAAATGGGGGCTGGTAGAGCAAGTGCGCCATGACACTACCTCGTATTCCAAAACAGCGACCTGCACGTTGTAGCCTGACATCACTTCATTTACCAAGCAAAATATGACCAAGTGGTGCTCCATCGACAGCACACCTCTGCCAAGAGGTTGCCAAGATTATGAATGAGTTACTGAAAAGCAGGGCAAAAAAAGCAGTCTTACAATGTCGTTATTTTTTTTTATTTTTCCCCTTGTCAGAATTTTCCCTCCTGATAAGAGCTGGGGCGTGAATGCCAAGGAAGGGCTGCTAAGTTTCCGCTTCCTGTCAAAATGGGGGCTGGTAGAGCAAGTGCGCCATGACACTACCTCGTATTCCAAAACAGCGACCTGCACGTTGTAGCCTGACATCACTTCATTTACCAAGCAAAATATGACCAAGTGGTGCTCCATCGACAGCACACCTCTGCCAAGAGGTTGCCAAGATTATGAATGAGTTACTGAAAAGCAGGGCAAAAAAAGCAGTCTTACAATGTCGCACTGTTAAACCAATTAGGTCTACTTTAGTCAGAAACAAAGTGCAAAATCATTTCCTTAAAAGTGGGGCTGATAAAAACACACGATTCCAATAACCGAAGTCAGTTTTACAGCCTAGTTTCTACAAGAGGTAGTGAGGAACATTGTTGTGTAAATCCAAAACTGTTACTAACTTTGCAAAGGCACATCGTTTTTCATATGCAATATGGGTTTGAACACAAGAGGGCAGCATATTTATGCTTTCAACGAGGTAGTGCTGGACAATCGATGCACTTCCATAGCCTGAAAATAACATCTTGTTTTGTTCACCACAAAAATCTGATTAACGAAATGAAATTGATCCCACCCTTGAAGCAATTAACTTTTGTATCCTGTACGGCTCACATAACCTGCTCAAAACAAAGCCACCATACTGTTTTGTACATTACATGGATCTATCCCCCCCCAAAAAAAAAACCGGATTAAAATACTTATTAGGAATCAGTGTGTGTATAAACGGTGGGCTATTTGATTTGTACAGCCATATATTCATGTACAGGTTCATATGTAGTCCTTTGAAAGGCGTGCGGCTATACGACGCGCGGCCGCTTGGAGCAGCTCGGCCTGACGGCGTGCGCGATGAACAAGAAGAGAACCACGAGTAAGATGATGATGACCGTGACAATGACCACGTAGCCGGCGTAGGGCAGCGGCGGTTCGTTGGGAGCCTCGGCTGGAATCATGTTGGTCAGGTTGAGCATGTACCCCAGAGTCCAGCCCGCGTCGCTTCCTTTGATCTGGGAAGCACACGATGGATAAGTGATCTCATCAGCACGCTTTTTAGGATGCTCTATTTTTTTTTTTCCCCATGACGGTAATCAGACATTTTATCCAGATGAGACTAAGGGCAGCATGAAAATGGGGCGCTGCTGCAAAAATGGACATTGTGTATTCTGTGGTTATTTACAAAGGGCCGGGATACATTTTATCCAAGAGGAGAATAAGGGCAACGTACCTTGTGTATGAATTTGATGTTGGAGTAGGTTTCGGAGGTGAAGTTGTATCCATCCGTCAGCAGCGTGAGGAGGTAGGTGCCGGCAAAGCAGTACCCCACCAAATACTTCAGTTTGATGCCTGGATTCTGCTGCTTCACCTGGTTGTAAAAGTGTGTGTCTACATTATATATATCCACACATATACAGAGAGTATGGAGATATACACACGCACACACACACACACACACACACAGGCAGTATATTTGGCATATCGCTAACCTGCTGCCAGGGTGTGGCACAAAAGCGTGCTATCCTTTCCTTGACCGTGTCCAAAGGGATGGACGTGTCTGTGAGGTTGAAGAAGTCCATGATGTAGTAGTAAGCTGAGAACGCCTACCACCACACACAGGACACCAACAAAATTTTAAGAATTTAGAACCAACTGTCAGCCAAATGAAGCCTAACTGGAACATTTTCTAGATTTCTAGCAGTTTGTCCATTGCCACATTTACACATTGTGCATTGTGCTTACCCCAAAAACCCCCTGCAGAGGTGGCTGGTAGACCCCGTTCAAGGAGCACTGGCTGTATTTGCATTGGCTGAAGTTGAAAAGGCTCCGGACTACGTCCTGACATTGTTGGAAGTTTCCTATTCCCGTGTGCTGGAAAAATGCAGGGGCTCCCTGAGGCTTCCTGTCCGACACACAGGGGCTGTCATAGAGCTTCGAGTACTCCTTGGTTTCGACGTATTCAGGGTGGAAGCACGGGTCCCGTATTGCCGGGGGACCTGACTTGGGGGAGGACGAGGAAAAGAATGGAAATTAAAATCATCCAAAACAAAAATAAGGTCTCTTGACAAAAGTAACTTTTTTTTTTGAACCATTATTTTTCAGTGAAAATCTGACTCGACTCAGCAAAACCTGACTTTTTTTTCAACAATTCTTTTTATCTTAGAGCTAAAAAAATAAAGGAAAAAAAATCCTGCCCCAAAAAAAAAAGAGAAATACAATTATATTCTTGTATAAACAATTCCCAGTGCTCAAAATAAAATCGATGACTAAGATGAACCAAAAATGAGCCACGCCTCTGACCTTACAAGTCTTATGAATGAATGCATCCCCACCCCCCCCCAAAAAAAAAGGCAGGAGCTGAAAGGGCGTCTACCTGAGTTTGGTGCGCCAGCGCCATTTTGAGGGCCTGATCCTTCCCGTAGCACAGGAAGCTGTGTGTGTAAAGGTTGTAGTCGTTTCCGTAGAGCCGAAAGGTCACCGAGTTGCCTGGCGACTCGCTGCCGTCAAACATTTTGGATACAAAGCTGATCTGGGTGGACGCCCCGCCGAGGTCCAGGGCCCCTGTGGTCTTCAGACCCTGCAGTCGCGCACACACACAAGCATCAAAGTCAGATGTGCGGCAGAACTTGGCCAATAAACAACAAACGAGATCCACAAACATGACAGCCATTACCGAGTAACTAATCACGAACCACATGTGAACACATGTAGTAGTAATTACGCAATAAAAGCTCCTACTTAATCTGTTGACTTATTTTTTTTTCTAGTGCTCGAGAAATGTTTTTCTTCTCCTCTGCAAAAGTCACTGGACTTCAACGAGGACTTGCGTCAAGGACCTGTTTGAGGCGGTCGTCCAAGTAGTTGACAGTGACCCATCCGAAGGCGCCCTCCTCCTGGCCGCTGAGGATCCTGGCGCCCTGGTAGGAGAACGGGAAGGTCTGCAGGGTCTCCGACACGGCCCGGAACACCTCGTCGGATGCCGAGCTGTTCTGCAAACTACGCACAAACAAACTAATGCATTAGCTTCCATCGATCGATGGCTGGTTAATCATTTCGTGTGAAAGATTTCGAAAACTACAGGGCCTCCTTGACGATTCGTTTTTTTTGTTTTGAGTTGTGAACAAAAATTCACATTCACAGGAAAGCAGCAAAATTGACAGCGGGGGACATTCCTGCCTGAACGGATGGCGTCCTTCCTTACTCGAGCAATCTCATCCCGGCGGTGGCTCCCAAGTAGAGGGGCGTCTGGGCGTGTCGCTGCTTGGGAATGTTCTTCTCGGCCTCCCGCATGCACTCCCGCAAGGACTGGCCGGCCTTCCACGGCGTCCCCGCGTAGCTGGAGATACCCGGACCTGCCAACGCGGAAAGTTCACATTCATGTTTTAGTTCGTCAAGTCAAGCCAGCGCACTGGTATAACCGCTTGGGCATGCTCGTAATTTTTTTTTTAACCTTAAAGTTGATATTAAGGTGATCAAAATTACTGTTCAAACGGCGTAGAACCATTGGAGATGCTGTATTGGGCCATTTTAACCCAATGCTATTTTTCTTTTGAGTTAAAAAAAAAATAAATTAAAAAATAGTCCAACAACAATAAATTCTAACCCGAGTGAAACTACCAAAAATGGTTTTGTAAATCCTCCTAAGCAGCGATGCGTGAAAAGTGCCTCGGCCTACCCTTGACATTGCAGGAGTGTTTCTGCTCAGCTCGCCCCGTGTTGTTGTCCTTCTCGGCGGGCCACTCGTAAATGAAGACAGTCGTGTGCGACGAGCCGGCGTCCAGTACAATCCCGTACTGTTGGGGGGGGGGGGGGGGGGGAAAAAAACGGCGCTG